AGGAAAATATATGAAAAATATCATTACACTAGGACCACACACATCAAAACACATTTAAGAACAGACCTGTGGTGAATTGGCTTTACTCTTACATACTGTTTCCCATACAGACTCTTCAGTTCAGATCGAACCACACCCAGAAGCTAAATTCATGCATCTAATGCCACATAAAGCTACATATCAAATATTTGGGTTAACAAAATGCAAAAAAATCTTTCTTTAAAGTATTCCACTCACCAAAGTTGTATGAAGATTTGTGTGGATCGAGAGGGTTGGAAGAAAGGGATTTGAGAGGAGACCACGGACACGGACCTTTTAAATGGAGTTCAACACCCTCTTTCCATGCCCCCACCCATCCTTCTCCCATTTTCCTCCTTTTATCTGCTTTTTTTCTTCTTCCTTCAAAACTGTTGAATCTCTTTCACAATTTTTAGTAAGTACATTTTTCTTAATTCATGTGACATTTTGCGGTGGGAAACATGACTTTTTACACTTTATGTCACTAGTTAGTTTGCATGCCTGATTTCTCATCAAGATCCATAACTTGTTCCTGGAGAATTTATCAAAAATGTTACCCTATCTCGCAATGTTGACGAGAGAAAAATAAATTCCTGGATCTGCCCCCTCATCTGGATCTGCACCCAACTTTAATGGGTTCCCCTGCCTCACTCTGCATTTTATAGGTTTTGCATAATCCCTTTAACTAACAAACAAATGGCAATGAAAGCACAATTAATACACTGATACAGTGCATTACATTAAACTACCCAACAGAATATACATTATAACCTTAACAGCTGCATCATCAAAACACTGGGGTCTTCCAGATCATTAAAATGCAAATAAATTGCATGTATTTTTTCAGATTTTATACTTCATGAGGAAAGGTTTAAAAAGTATAACAATTCAGATCGGGTGTTATTGCATAATTTGTACAGCATGGGCTCAAGAAGCTATCCAATGGATAATTGAGTTAGTAAAATAAAAAGCAGCTTGTAAATGAAAATGCCAGTGGAATTAATAAATCCCTCTTGAGTGAATCCTGCAATGTGAATTTGTGGACGTGGTCTTACTTTTGTCATTTTGTTTACATTTATACACATTTACATTTATGCTTTGTTTTCCATAGGATGTATGTATTCATGTTGAAGTTTAGGGGATTAAAGAGATTCAGTCAAATTCATAAATCAATGTGCAATTTATTTTACTAATTCCAGTTTATGTTTCACTGAAATGACCCTTAACCAGTTTCAAACTTTAGTGATTGTATTGCTGCTTGTCTTTTCTTTGAATCAACAATCTGAACTTGCCTATGTTCACACAGGCAACATTTTGCAACTGTGTAAGTGAGAAGAAAACAAAAAAGACAAGGGTGGGATGCCATGATTCATTGGCAGAGAATGTTTGTGTCTCTAACGCTGGTGATGTCCTCCCACATGAGAACAGACCTCAATACCTCAGGGCACAGACAAAAACATCTGGCGCAACGTACCGGCTCAGTGTATGGGCAATACAATACATTATTGCCACAGGTTCAGAATAATTAACCCATTTGCAGTCAGGATTCTGTCAACACACAAAGGATCATGATGTTCACCCAGAATGTGAATGGTTTTGTGAGTTCCTCCGCTGAAACGCAGCTGCTTGTGGTTTGTTGTCCTAATTAGAGGAGCAGTGCAAAGTCTCAAACATTCTCCAAACCCACTCTGGGAAGGATTCTGTGTGAAACTGTCCTAACTGTACCACTATTACTAACTAAGGTTTGAGTAGCAAACTTACACAAAACACAGGAAACAATTAGCAGGAATGCACCATCTTTACTGTATTAAATGGTTTCCTTGATTTTAGAATACAGCCGCTCCCTCAATTTGATCCTGAGTGAAATCTACTGGATGGATTGCCTTTTAAAGTTTGTACAGTCATTGATTAAAATATGGAGTTTCCTTTTTTTACATGCATAGCTCCTGAAACTTAAACCAAAGTATGCCGTCTCAATCCAAAATCTACATTTTTCATGAAGAAATGAAGTTTAGTGAAATGCAGTGGGAGGGTACGGCTCTGTGTTTTGGACAAAACAGGCATTGAGCTCTCCGCCCCTCTGTTGCTAACATGGCCAAAAAAACTTTCCACGACAACTCAGTGCCTGGGTGTGTGTGTGTGTGTGTGTGTGTGTGTGTGGGGTGTGTGTGTGTGCTTGCAAATATGTGTTTGGTTACCCTGAGCAGAGAATTTCACAGAGGAAGCAGCTAAATTACTTCATGAATCACTGATTTCAGTGGCTGTAATGAAAGAAAGAAAGAAAGATATACTTCCGGGTTTTTTGTCTTTGGATTCCTGTAAGAAACACATGCAGCCATTTTACATTGCTTGATCTAAAAAGCTCGTAGCCATCAAGCAGATCCACTTGCGCAACACTGCAATCCTGTTCATTATAGTTTATGATGGTCTGGCTCAGTATTCCTGGTTGGTAGATGAGAACTAGAGCTTGGTTCTCTTGGCAGTTGTGTGGTTTTAACCAAAAAAACATCTGCTGTTGTTCCTACAAAGCTTAGTTTACAATGAGTTTCTCTTGGCCACCAGGAAATATGAGACGTTAAGAGTGCAACACAATGGACTAAATATTTGCACAGTGCACGTCTCCTTCTTTGTCCTTCAGTGATCTCTGGTTTCACAAAGTTTCTGTGTTGTCAGTTTGCATCATTTCTGTTAATGCTGAATCTCTTACTGACAAAACTGCTCCTGTAAAACAAACAAACCTTTGATAATTTGACTTTTTGCATTGTATTATTAAGTTCTATCTTCATTTTTACTGCAGTGTGTCGTAGGAGAAGAATGCGAGCTGTAATGAAACTCACTGAAACGCTCAAGAAGCTAAAGCCTCCAGGCTTTTGTACTTTACAGAGAATCACAGCTTTTCCTCTCACACACAGACAATGTGGTGTAACTGTGGGGTGCTGCTGATATTACAACCTGAGTTTTGGCTGTTTGCTGGATCATCTGATGAACAGAATGAGGGTCTGGCTTTAGTTAGAGTCTCTGACTGTTTAGCTGTGTCTCAAATCAAGGGCTGCATCCTTTGGAGGATGCATTTGAAGACCGAATTTATCTCAGCAGTGCACCTAGGATGCATCCTTTCATTACCAAGAAACTAAGGCTCCAATGGGTGGATCCTTCCCAGCCCAACCTATTCCAGGATTCACTGCTCTTCAGTGATGTTTTTCAAACAGGTAATGGCACCGGCAAGTGACGACAAATCCAACGCTTGAGTATCATGCTGCAACCAAACCGAACAGCTGATGGTAAACATGTTTAAAAAAACCAAGGGGCATTAAAACTTTCTAGTTGTGTCCAAATTCAGCCTGTTTCCTCGGCAACAGCAAAAGGGATGGGATGAGCCGGTGATGCTGAACACAGAAAGCCTCTGTAGACCAGACCGTCTCACTTTAGTTAAGCTTTCATGATCAAAACATGCAAACACTTTTTTCTAAGCCAGTTTAGCCACACCCAGTGCTTTCTGGTGAAAGCCTCAGCAGAGCGGATGAAGCCCTGTCCCAAATCCCACCCAAGGGTGGTGGCTTCATCTAAACTAGTTTGGAAAAATATACGCAGCTGGTTGGGCTGCTGCGTGTCCGGGTGCTTCCCTCTGGTGGGGAAGAGCTGAATCAGACAAACTGTTTCTTTAAGAAACGTCAAACCTCTTACAGCTGCAGTGAAACTTCATTCTTCAGAGATAGATTGTGTGTGTTTTCTTGTCAGCAGTGAGAGGAGATGATTTTCATCTGCAAGTTTAGTGGAGACATGTTCCAGCAGCACAGGAAGCAGAAGAGAAGTTTACTAAAACATGCATTTGCTTAATTTACCCGTGTGTCATCTCTGCAGGTCTTCAGTATTAATTATATGTCTTTGTGGAGCAGAACAGACATTAGAGATAATTCATGCTTTCACTACTTTTGTTCTAACTTCTGGAACCAGTCATTTGGGCCCCTCTCAGACCACTTATTAACTTAATGGGTTTGAGTAAAATATGTTAGAGGAGGATTCATGTCATTATATATATTTCAGCTATGTATCAAACATTTAAACTGCCCGGCAGATTTCACTATATTCTGCAGAGAGTGTCTTTAATGGTCCAGTGTCACATAATATTTAGTGGTAATGCAGAGCCTGTAAACACAAACCTTTGAGCTTCCTATTTGTTGGACCAGCACACAAGTAAAGTGGTTAACACAAGTATCAATCTTGACAAATTCAGTATTATTGTAAGACAGCTAAAATGCTAGAATCATGCTGCTTCATGCTCTTATACAACAACAACTGTTGAACCTGTCAAACGTCCTGTGACAGTGCAGCAGACTTCTAAGGCACCAAGGCCTGTAGCTCACCCCCTCCATTTCTGCCTGTGCTGTGTCTATGACTTGTCTTTTCTTGTCTTTGTGGATGATGAGAGGTTGATCCCCGAATGTGGTGGATCTAAGTGCAGACCTGCTTTCATCATGACTTGTCTAGCTTGCTCCTCACCTGAATGCAGTCACTTTATGAGAATATTACACTGCATGTCTTTATCTTGATGCCTGCGACCTCCAAGAGTGGGTGTTTGACACACCTATACATAGAAATAAACTGATTGCGAATCATGCTTATTTGTAGAACTCTCATCCAGTCCCAACAAACCAGCTTCACCAGTCCCTTTGTGTGACACTGTAATTAGAGCACAGAGCAACTGGTGAAGCTGTTTGTACACAGATAAAATATTCATCATCGCTCTGAGGATGGCACAACAGTCCCCTTAAATTCAATGAAGCTGCACCAAATTTCACAAACCCATAAGTATCAGTTTCCTAAATGTGCCTGATTAATTTTATTAAGATTCATGACTTATTCCCTGTAAAAATGGTGAAAATGTTGAAACACGCCCTGTCTCACAATGGTGAAGAAAAACATTCTTGGATCCGCCCCCTCATCTGGATCCACACAAAGGTTTATAGGTTCTTTCCCGACCATTCTGCATCCATTCAACCAAGTTTTATAGAAATCTGTCCAGTTATTTTTGTTAATCTTATGTAAAATACAGGCAAACGGAGAGAGGTGGAAACGTTAACTCTTGGTGGAATCTCTTGGTGGAGTTGTGGCATGAGGATATTTTCACTGATCTCAGCCATGTTTGTTTTTCTCCCACACACAGTGGCACTGAATATGACTGCACATGCAGTGATTGTGACAAACATGCAAAGGAACCCACAACACATTCAATTATATATTTTTATTCTTTCTTATAGTGAGGAACAATGAAAGTCACATGTCTTGTCTCATTTGTCTTCAATTTACTTTCCACAGCCT